AAGATTAATGTAATTAATCATACTAACCAGCTAGAATACGCTAATAGAGTACCTATACGAAACTACCGGAATCACCCCCACGGAAGAAGCTAATCAGACTAAAAAATTATTGGGTTGTCGATAGAATTGACTATTTTTAAACAACATGTTTGCTAGTATTTTATATTTTCAAATATTACTTCTAGACTAGAGAACCTATAACGAGTAATTTTTTCATCCCCCCATTGAAACTACATTAACAGCACTGGTGAAGTTCCCCAGAGACCGGAACAGACCACAGTCCAATTGTGCAGGGCCGAGGCTATACGATGTATGCATTAAAATTTCCCGTCAAAAATTTTCCTCGATCTTTGCCAGACAGCTAAATATATATGTGATTTAACATTGTCTTAGTGGACGACAACACCGTTTTTTTTTTCTGTTACACCAGCTTTGGTCGCTCTTTCTTGGTGGATTTATTATGATCTTGTTAGTTGCCACCAAATATATAACATCAGCTTCTTTTTCGTAAGTCTGGGTTTTATCTTACATTGTGACGCAGATCAGCTTTTAATTTGTACGTTCATCTCATATTTGATTTGCTTTTTATCACCCATGATCAACTGCTTTAAGAATGGCTTAATCTCATTTCTGCAGAGCTTTGCAAACGGAAACTCGATTCCGTCATTTTTTTGCATCAATACACGTGGCGCTCATATATGAAACTTTCCCTTTGTAGCCACCTTTGGTACGTATCGCTTCTGCTGAACTTTAGTAATAGTTTCATCAATTTTTTCTCTAACTGGCTAGCAACTACGAAGAGTATACTTCATATCGAAATTTCCAGAACGAACCACTTTTGGGCCGTTTTTTACGATGACACATATCGTGCTTATAGGAAATTGTACAAGATAAAGATTTTTTACGGAAATTTCACTCTTTTTCAAGGTGCGCAGTTTTTGAAGCTGAGTGCAGACGTTTCAGCAATCGCAGCACATCCACTACTAAGATCGTCAAGTTTAAAGTTATCTAGTTGGCCGCATGCTTCTTTGAAATATCCTAATCGAAGAGCCCTGATTAGATAACAGAAATGGTGTAACAGGATTTCAGGAAAAGTGCAACCGGCCGTCTAGTAGAAGGACAAATCTACAGTAGAACAATATCTTACGTCACAGTTTAGGTCCAACATGAATAACATACGTGGATGGAATAACTGTAGCATACGAGCGGGAATATTAAACCATTCCAGTGGGCGAGCAATACTTGTGAACAGATTTCGACAAGTTGCTAAAAACGCACGTTTTTATATTTTAATTTGATGTTTTAATGTAAAACAGGCTGAGAAGGCTAATGACAAAAAAAATGCCCATTGATCGTATTTCTTTATCCAGATGAAATGGGGGTTGAGGATACATTGTAAAATAATTTTCCATTGCTTTATTACCTTTTGATAAATGTGTATTGGAAATTTAAGTTAAATGTAATACGAATGAAAATCATTTATATTAGAAGGTTATTTGTTTCTTAAGAAGCGGCTTATAGAATAGGCACACTATTAAATTTAGAGGGAAACATTCAATGTTTCATATATTTATTGTCCAACGCTAAAATAGTGACTTCTGCCGAAGTGCTTAATACTCGATAAAATATGAATTGTGAAAACAATGTTTTTTTTTTTTTTTTTTTGCTGCTAGCGGCTGTAAGCATATGCCTACTTTTCCGGGCTTCTCGCAATGCGTCATGACTCGTAACCGTCTGCTCTATATCGTCTGTTTCGCCCGATGCACCTGATACGTTAGTACCCACATCCGGTTTGGGTCCCTATTGAGAACTTTAATGTCGAGCCCAATTATTTCCTGAAGCTGCAGCGTGATCTGCAGCCATACAACAATTTCTTAAAGTATTATGTGTAATGCGAACCAAATGTCAGAGCAGGCTGCTAACTGGGCCACGGCAGCGAAAATGGGTTCCGAAAAGCAGAAAAACTCCAACGGAATAATTATTTCTAGTAGACCGATTGAAACGACGAGCTAAAATTACTATGGCAGGATTTTGTAGCGAAAATTGTAACGGTATAACAAAATGGTGCTAGAGAATATCTATACTGTTGTTTTATTACAATGTTGTAGGTAGTAGTTGTGTTGCTTTGCATAATAAACCCAGAACCTTACCAAAGTCTTTACCCCTTTTCCGGCTCACAAAAAATACGTGCGCTGAATAGACAACCACGTTAATATTAGTGCGAGACTTGTTTGACATCTGTGGGACTCACTATCTATATTCTGTTCATTTTTTGGCAAATTGAAGATATACTTGACTCTTGAAGAACTATATATAATAATACGTGTACCTAGTTAATACTGCCACCAAACTAGTGCCACCACATAGATGTCAATGACATTTCCTTCCGAGAGGCACGGGCTTGGCCGCTGTTCTTTCCAGATCTCCGCAGTTTCGTCCATAGTTCATGACTCTCTGTAGATGTCACCAATACTTAAGGTTTCGCTACCAGTGACGTTTTGGAAAGCCCTATTGACCGGCTGCAGACGAACGAACTACTCTGTATCAGGGCTTCGCGTCGTGTCTGAGCGTATCCGATGCTGTCTCTAAGGATTTGTTATTTTGTGCCGCCTGACTGCACACTGTTTCATCTGGTACCAGCGGGATGTGCCAAATAATAGCCAACTGAAAGACAAATAACATTCCTGGAACTGTCGTCATGCGCTGCACCAGTAAAAAGAAACAAAAGTAAAATAGGTTAATAGTATCACGTGACGGATTGACGTCCTCCTTTTATCCCTAGCATCGTAGCAGATGACTGTTTCTATGAAATGTATTGCATCTGTGACAATAGGTGAGATCACCTTTTCGTCTGCTCTAGTTTCCGTCCGGCTTTCTTTCGACGGGATCTTTCGATGACTGTGCATTCATCTTTTAGTTGCCATTTTACAGTTTACATTCATATATTTAACGTATTCATCCTCATTTACTAATTTTCTATTCCTTTTTAGATTTTTTTTAATGCATGCGATTATTTCTACTGCGTGAACGAGTGGTTGAAGTTACGTCTTCGCTAGGGCATCAAGGACTTCGCCCTACCGGAAGGTCTAGCCCGACTGAGTCTTGCTTGGATTCATCCGTGGTTTTTTTCAATGGACCAACAAAGCGACAGGGCATGATGAGAACACTTGAATGTTTCACAAGTCACCTTCATATGCACTAGGAGTATTTTGACAACGCTGCCGTTTGTAATTTGCCAGTTGAACTTGGGAATAACTAAAAAACATTGGCCTGTCACAGTTCTATTTCTCAGCACTTTAATGCACGCTGAATTAAACCCAAATTGAATCAGACGGATATACTGTTAAACAATGGTTGCTGAAGTAAACGGATTCCAGTTACTAATATATACATTATAGAGATCCTTTAAATTAAATATGAATAAAAATGTCATTGAATAAATTATCAGGTTCGTGTTGGACAGTCATAGCTAAGAAAGACCGAGGCAGAGTCAAAGGGCACGGACCTGTATGTAAGTTACGCGCCTATGAGGCCGAAGGAATACACTTTACCGCTTCGGCAAGGGTGGAGTCCAGAGAAACCGCACAGTCGAAAGCTGCAGGCTACTCTAGGCCAAAGTCGGCCAGCAAAAAACAAACAGATCAGTTTGCTAAATTTCGAATTAGCCTAATCATGTTTTACATGATTTTAGTTTATTTGTCATGGCTATTCAAAATCCAACAACTCTGTGCGACTTTGTGCGTGTGACACTGCGGGGGCCGCTCTGCATACAATCGAAATCCATAATTTTCATGTCGAGACCCTGTCCGGAGAGACAGGGGGGTATCCGTTGTAATGTTTGATCACGCATTTACCCACCATTATTTTTTTTATTATTTATGGTGCTTTTATTTAATTTAGTGACAGTTGGGCATCTTTTGTTTTGGCCCTGTGAGCCCGGAACGATATGGACACGCTTGTATTCAAGACTGATACACGAAATTTTTCGATAGTCAATGGTGATTTGTATCTATTTGTATAGCTAGCTTTGCTATTCGACCAAACCTTCATTTTGTAGGGGAGACACGTCTGGCGTATCAGTTTGATGAAGCGTCACGGGTGAATAATTAACAGTCACGAAAAACAAATTCAGGATGTCGTGATGATTTTAATGACGAGTGCAGGCAAATAGAACTACTTAAGAATACCATTCGGGTACAATTGATGTGTGCGTACTAGAGATACTGTTATGAGACACGTAGTTGCAGTATTTTGTGTCGGTCTGAATAACACGCCCAAATCAAAATGATGTTCCGCAATCGGCATTATAGTCCACAATAGAGCTAGAATCATTGTGATATAATGGACCATTAAATGGCTGCCTTTTTAGCTTCGGATTAACAATCAAACAGTTAGTTGATTTTGTAGCGGGGAGGATGGTGAAGCTTGTCACGAAGCCGTTAAATACTAGAAAATGATTTAATAATACAAATACAGAAATCACTTTGGGTAGAAGGGCAGCAGAAGTCAAATGACACCTGGAAAAGATATAAGCTTTAGTTCTTTAAAGCAATTGAAAACGAATGCCAAAAATAATTTAATAAAAAAAGACAATAATGATATTAGTTGATGTTAACGTGTAGAACAATATTTTTTATCTAATTTTGACATTTTCTATTAGATGGCGATAGATTAGTTTTTTTTCTACATTTCCTTTATTGCCCGCGGTCCCTATATAGGACCACAATGTTTGCTCGCCGTGGATGGTACGCAAATATCCTCTCTCTTTAATATAGCTTCTTCATCTTGAGTTCGGTTGTAGTTTCCAGATTGCTGACGGCTCTACTCTAGGCGGTCTTGCTCGCGCCGATCTTTCTTCACTGTGCTATATATATCCAATGTGAGTGAACGTATGCGCGCGTCTGTGTGCATTGCATGAACTACTTTTCTCCATTATTTGAATCTTTCCGAACGTCCTACTCTCAGCCTTTTCTTCTGACGTCATCGGCGTCAGCATTTGATGTTTCGCTATACCTCCTTGCCCATATGTTCTCTACCTCAAAAACTCCCTCCGAACGATGGCTAGGTGGTGAGTTCGCGCACGGGTCCTAATAGATACGCCGCTGGAAGACAGCGGTGGCGCAAAGAAAAGCAGAACTCATTCATAAGTAAAAGCAACCAAGTAACGGCTACAATGAAGCAGTAGCTCTCCGCAGGCTGGCGGCAAGCCGAGAAGTAAGTGAGCAGCTGGAGTTACTCGTAACGATAGAGCAACTGCCAACTTCTGCAGTACACTTAAGGTGGAACAAACGAACCGCAAAAGTCACTGTTTAGCTGCTGGCTGCGGTGCGTGTGGACTTTGACTGAGTTACTTTTGATCAGTCGCCAGTTATGACGTGCCTACTGCTTCGAGGCCAAAATAGCCTAACAGCCAGCCTTAAAATGTAGTTAGTAAACAGTCAATGGGACTGAAAACAACGGTTGGCGTGCAATGATATAGCCCTATTTGTGTATAAATTACCAAACATTAGAATACGACAGAAGCTATGAACAGACCGCGGTGCATATACTACTACCATTGGACCATATGATGTGTGCTTCCGAGGGACAATGTTACGATTGCATTATGGAAATGAACGTACTTATACGCTGGACTGAACTTGTTGACCCGTACGAAAGATGACCTTATATAGTGAAAAGCACTGGGAACCAGTAAACGTTTGTGATATGCTCTGAAATGTCTAAACATTAATTTAAGACAAGAACTGCAAGTTCAATGAGTGGTCGTGCGCTGCAAAAAAAATGCAACCGTTCCGTAATAGTGCTTCTAGAGAAAGTACACATAATAGAGTACCAAGTTATTTGCAGATCGTCGTGCCTTGTGACTGCCAAAAATTGGCTTTTTGAATCGGAACGGCGACAGGTATCCTGCTAATCGCGATACGACGTGACTTTGTCTGTTCCAGGTTGGAAGATAATCAGGTGACAGAAGTAATTAGCCTTTTTCAATAAATCAACATGGTGTTTATAGGTATGCTATTAGTTAGAATATATATTGCTCATTGTTTTTAAATCTGTGCACCAAAAACAACCGAACTTGGATAAGCGAGTTCTTTAGTAAATGAATCTTTCGAAAGAGAAAAGCCTTTGCCGATAACCATGGAAACCCCTGGCTTTAATATTGATAGATCTCTGCTATTTTGGTTGGCCCGACCCGATCTCCCTAGATACAGTGGCAAGCTATATTGAGGGATTAGCTTCAACGATTATTTTGGTTTTACCGACCAGAAACCCGCTATTCTATATTGGCGTAACGTCAAGTGTCCGCAAATTAACTTAATTTATTTGGAATTTTCTGTTTTTTTTTTCATTAAACTTAGAAGTTTTCCTTCTAAGTTTGGACAGCTTCACGGAAAACAGCAATCAAAACAGAGTCGTTTAAGAACGGTTGGTCATTGCAAGGAAACTGCTAGGGACTATTTGAAGAAAGGAATTATGCACGGGCTCTCAGATCGCACGTTGCATACTTATCTATTTAAGACACTGTATATGATAAGCAAGCATTTTATCTTCAAACGTCTGTTTCATATAACAATGAGGTAGTAATATATATAGATTATTCAAGTAAGTGGTTGGTTTTACGTTCATTTTCACGTCTGTCCATGCCGATGACCATATTGTTATCGCGAGTAACCAAAAAAGACTTAGAGGAATCCTAAAGATCTTATCATTTTCTGTCCAATCGAAAAACTTGTCTGTTTTTAAACCCACCTAATGATGATTTTCAATAGAAGGAAGGGAACATCAACTAATGCCATGCCAGTTCTTCCATAGCGAACAGTTTTGTACATAGGGAGTAGAGTACATAGGGCTCAGTGCTCATTGTAGCAATTAAGTCAACTGTCCGACTTTGAAACCTAATTGATAAACTGTAGCACCATAAATGTGTCACTCCGTAATGAAAGTGTAAGCCAACTGACTATTTTAGGAAAACAGTTAAAAGAAAAATCTCGTATCTTGAGGAAGATCTCACTTTATATATTCCCAGGGCACGACAGCGTGGAAAATGTTTGTCCTGAATATATTCCTAGTAGTTATTCGTGACGATGACGACGAACTCGAATTAGTTTGTCAATATAACTAACATTTAATACAGCCTAAAATTAGCCGACACATTGGCCAAGTAGCCTTCAAGTCAAGGGACTCTAAAATCCCCTGAAATATGCTCATCTCAGCGAGAAAAGAAAGCATCGCGCTGTGAAAATGTGCCCGTTAACAAACAACGCCAGTAATAATCTTCCGGTGAACACTTCTGATGAGTCGCTGCTCCTTGTATTGCCGTCGATATCTGTTCCGCATAATTTCCGCGTAATCAATTTATGTTCTATACTAAACGTCATTTTGTATTACAGATGGCCTTCGCGCCCTTCCACTACTCATTGTAAAGGGTCATATAACCATCTTTAACCAGTAGGCCCATTTCTTTTCCGATTTAAATTGCGCACGAAACGATACGGCCTTTGAAATTGTCCTTCACAGGCTACATGATCAAACTCTATGAATCCCCTATTTTTAAGAAAAGTTGTCCTCCAAAGTTTCAGACACTTGTTGACGATTTACAACAAATGCTAATGATTCTTTTATGTGAAGTTGGCTCTGAATCCATCCGTGTAAAACAGTCAGTCGTCTTCTGAGAGAGTTGTAAAGAAGCGTATGTATTCTTTAATCTGATTCGCATCTAAGTATTTATAGCGCTAGTCTAGAGGCACTGCAGACACAAATGCGAGTACTGTTTATGGCATTTTTTGGCCCTCCACGATCTTTATTTTACGATTTACCCTGGCGGTATATGCTTTAAATAATCGTTCCAAATATATATCTCATTTGTAATCGCACCTAGTTCGATCTGGCTAAGATAATAAAAATTTATTATGTCCTTATTCGGCAAACAGATTAATTCCGATGCAACACTTGGTACTCGTTGTCATTGTGGGTATGACTCCTTCAACATACACTGTCACATGCAGTGTTTTTTTTGTTTGTATTGAATTTATCATTTTAGCAGTTGAATAGATAAGAATCATATTAGCATTACTTCTGTGCAAATGATATCACTAGAAGGCACCTACGATAAAGTTAGGGCGTCAACTTTCTCGTCGTGTCTTCTCTGCTGAAAGTTGCTAAAACCTACAAGTCGCAGAAAGTGCTATAATCTACTTTTATTTGAGAGTAATATAGGTATAAAGAGCTTGACGGTGAGGCTAGCCGTATACACACGCAGATACCGGAAGCTTGCGAGTTCGCAAACATACCGTACTGGCATTCCTCCGCCTATTTCTCTCGTATAAGACCTCACAACAATGAAGGAATCGGACCACCAATTGATAATAGAAACACCATCCGTCGCTTTTTAAAATAATGAGTAATAATAAGCGCCATCACTACAAAAACGGCACACATATTGCTCCAAGCGTTTATTACAGAACTTTCGCTCAACGTCAGCTAGAAGAGCATATTTTCTATCTGAGGTAATTATACTAGATTGCAGGAGGTCGATACGCTAAATAAAGAAGATACCTAATCTAATAATCTTCTCGATCAGTAAGCCCTGATCAGATCGATAAAATGCTTTAGGAAAATTGAAAAAGATGCCGGCAAGTTGTGGCGGTTAATTTGAAACAATACTAGGTGCTGCGTCTCGGCAACTCACTGTGTTGTCGCTGTTGAACCTTCCTAAATTGATATTAACTCGTATGGAATAACTGTCTCAATGCTAGGTCGGCTAAGTAAGTTATAGATCCCCTAACCACAAAACGCTAGTTATTAATTGAAAACTGAATGTTCTCCTTGTAAACTGACGATAAACCCACCCTTTGTTGATCTGCAGCCTCTGATGCTAGCGTAGAACTGAATCGTTTACGATTTTTTAATAGCTCTTATGTAACCATTATCAAACACGCCAATCCGTGAAGTTAAGTGTCACAAGCAAAAGCGACTTATGTACGGGTGTTTATTCTAGGAACATTATTGAGAAACCACTTCAGCTATATATATAATAAGTTGTATTCTCTTGCAGAGAGCACGGATTAGTTAAGTAACTGGACTATGCACAAAAAAAGACATCTGTCAGCTACGATGCTAGGGCAGTTCTAGATGAAAAGCTCTAGACATTATATAAAAGAAAATTGATTTGTGACAAAATTACAGGGAACGACCCTCTGTTCTACGGTGACTGAGAAAACCTTTCTTCTTATTGTCTCGTTGAAATTGGCCCCACGAGTCTTAAAGGAATTATTACTAAGGCCTTGATCGGCTTGTTACGGAATATACAGATTATTCCGGAAATCGAGATAGATTGTGGACGGATTCGGCCTACAGCAGCCGAACAGGATCAAAATAGAGTAAATAGCAGGTTCGCCCATATAAGACCGTATGTCCTACTATACGGTTCAATGAAAACAAACGGTACGCAATTATGGCTTAGACACTGGATACTACACGGCCAGGAAGCTGTCTTCTCCACTATAGTTTTCCATACTATAGCTTGATTGATAACTTTCTGAGTAGTGAATCGCCGGGCTAATGAAAGTAGTCCAAAATATTACGTATATTACATCTAATAATAACGATTATGAGGCTGTAAGTTTAGCTGTCTGATATATATATATATATATATATATATATATATATATATATATATATATATATATATATCTCTCGCAACTCATGAAGTATCGTTCTAACGGCCGCGTTACGTCGTTTTCTTTGTTGCATTTTCCGCTTCCGCAGCTTCCCGGTGCGATCTAAGCGGTGGTGAGGAAGTAACTGCAGCGGCAATGAAACAGACGGCCTCGATGGAGCGACTCGGGGTGATGATGGCCGGAGGTCTTGTCGCCCCCATGAGCCCTCCACTGGGGGCCGATGAGCCGGCGCAGCTCAACTCAACAACTTCGACAAATATAGCAGCAGGTCTAGTCGGAGGAGCAGCATCAATAGCAACAACCCCCACTACAGTTCACTTTCAGCAGACAACTGTTGCCAGTAGTGGCCACAGCAGTAATAACCAGATGCTACACCTCGGTGGGATCCATACCCCCTCAGCACCTATCGCAACAACGACGCTTTTAGCCCATTCGCAACAACAACATTGCCATCAGTCAAAGCAGAAGCACTATCATCAAGAACTTCATCTCCAGCAGTTGAGTACGGTAAGTGCGTTTCGTGTAATGTAAAACGTTATAGAAGCCGACAACAATAAAGGCCAGTGTTAAACAAAGCGTTCGATAGATACAAAAACGCGAATTGTCTACACAATATGCATATACATAACGTAAACCCTTTAACAAAAATGCGACAGCGGATTTAGGACGTATTGTAAATATTAGGTCATCAAATATCGTCACACGTCGAACGTGGCGGCATCACGCGAGTCGAACGTCAATCAATGAATGCTTCTCGGTGCAATAATCTATTCTTTAACTGATCTATTGATGATTTACGACCAAATACGAAGCTAAATAAACATGGCGACATTTATACTATGATTTTCACCATAGTATTTAATGATAGACAGTAATACCTGGCTGGCCTCAATCGGATGTGACCAGAAATTTCATTTTGCAAAGACTCGATCTTCCCAATAGACGACCAATAATTCCTACTATACGATGCGGATCAAATTCATACATTAAACGAGTAGAGGATGTGGCGATCCTAACTCGGATGCATGGTGAGCTGAAATGTGAGTTAAAAAGAACACCGAGTTTCAGTCTGGAATTGAACTTCAGGCCTCATCGCAGTCAATCTCAGAGTATTCTTTTTGTCTAGCTTCGACGTAAACGTTGGCGTAGCACCAACTTAACTTTTCCAATAAAGTGAAATCCCATACAACTTCTATAATAGAACAGTTTATTCGTTCTATCATTGGTACATTACGTGCGAGTTAATTAGGTTATTTGTAGATGACTTTTCTATCATGGACGCAGGGGGGGGAGCACGCGGCCAAAGAAGATTGTCGTCTAGCAACGTTCTAGTTGCGGATAGGCTGAGTCTGATCATCTGACAGTTCATTGCAAATGTAGGACGCAGCATAGCTGCAGGCTAACTAGTCTTGTTCTCTCCAGGCTCGTGCAGCGGGTTATACCGCAACATCGTCTAGGCCTACAAGTACTGCCTGGACGACAATAGTTTCGTTAGGCAACTTTCCAACAAAGAACGCTTAGGCTAGCACACGCACGTGTAAATTCTACGTGCATAAATTGCGTGCACCGTTTTGCGGCTATAACATGCTTGCATTGCGTCAAGCTTTTGCAACTTTTTCAAGTTGACAGCAATTTTACCAAAAAAAGGATTACTTAATATACGTAGTTGTATTTGGCGTGGTGTCATTCGTACTAAATCCATTCGAGCAGAAGACATGCTATGAAAATAATATGTATTAATTTGGAAAAATTATATTCATTTAGTTACTTTCGTATTAAATAGAAAATAACTTTTTAACAGCTCAAAGAAGACATTCAATATTGAGAAACCTTCTTGCTCACATTCTTCAACGTTTTTGTTCGCGCAAACAAATGTTACCTCGTCCCTTCGAATAACAGACCCACGCGTGCGTTTAAGTCTGATGAGAGCACAAACAGCTCACGCTCTTTCTGCAAAGTGGCCTCCGGAACAGGTTCCTGTAACATGGCTTGCCGAGCTCTCTCGGCTGCGTCATTTCGACTGCTCACACACTGACTTTTAAGAGTCTTTGCCTTCTTGGATTTGCATTATTCCGAAGGCCCCAGAAGCATTGCCTGACTATGACAGGTAAAATACAACGTCTCTATGAGAGGGGATGAACTAAAAGTTGGTCAAGAAAAAGTTATGAGTCTTACGAAAGGCCAAAATCTCAGGGAGGTTGAGCAGAAACTTGATATGCATGCAACCCCCTGAAGTGCACAACCACTAACCTAGACGGTATATTTCTTCTTATATCTGAGGGATGCATGTGTCTTAATCTATGGGTAAAGGGACGATTTACCTTCGACCATGTACGTACACTTCATGCGCAAACAATCAATCCGAATTGGTACGTGCATGTAGTAAATGGTAATTTATGCGATCAAGTTATATGAATTTATCTATACGAAACAAGGTAGAATGTCGATCCTACGGACATTTAAATTTCCATGAAGATCGTTAACTTTAATACCTATAACAAATTTTATAAATATATTAGAGTAGTTTTGTCTAATGTGAGATACTCAGACGAACGCTTATTGTTTGCCTTAGCTGGACATTCACTCTTGTAAGGCCATCCATTGAATCTCACTTTTTGTTCTATCCTGTGACGGACTCTCAGTATCACCCAGCAATCTATTACCAGGAACGGCGTTGAGTGCGTCTGACATGAATGCCTTATCTTTTACGGCAATAAGTATTCCCTGTTCATTGTGGTCGATTAGGACCTGGCCTATAAATTTTACTGCATTGAGTAACTGGGTGCATCGTGTAGATGCTCTCAATTCGATAGTAATACCATATATTTTAAGTAAAAAGGAGACGGACATCGAAGCTGTAGGAGAAATAGAGATAAATCATAGACCTTATGTGATAGTGCCACCTTCAAACATTTCATATAAGACCTATGCAATAATTTTAGGAACAGGGCAGGTTTGAGAGGGGCGAATGAGACAATTATTGGAGTGTTAGAAAACGACTGGATTAGTTAAATAGTACGTTAGCAAGGTAAGTTTTGTCGTCGCATTACAATCGTTGCTAAAAGAACTGAATGACTGTATGTTTTACACTTGTTCTCTAACTTATACAGCGTAGTCTACGTATTATTATACACACTGAACATAAAAATCCTATGCTCTATGTGGAATCAATAGTAATTAAGGTGATTTTATTCCATCTGAAACAGATGGACGTCATAGTAACACTGCATACGCTTACACGTTGCGAGCATTGAAGATCTGATCGATTCAAGAACATAGACAAGACGTATCTCTATCTATGTAGGTCCGATTTAAAGTTACCGAGGTGATCCGCTATACAAAAACGTGCCGTTCGTTACGAATCGCAGATTCTTATTAATAAACTGAACGACGTCTTTGTGATGCCGCAGCCTATATAAAACAATAGCTGTCATTAGTTCTTTCTATCTTTATAGGGAAATCTTAAATAAGCAAGGCACCTTCCACTGCTGGCATACTAGAAGCGCAAATTAAAAACAAAGTTCAAAGAAGCAATAAAATGTGTATATAGAACAACGTATATACAACGACGTTCCTTCTTGGGCTCGCTGTCCTGCTGCTAAGTTGAAGGGCAATGGCAGCTGCAACAGCGTCCTGTTTGCAACTAGTGAGCCGCCGCCGCCATTATTCTAATTGCTACATCCCCCCCGTTTCATTCACATTATGCTAGGCATAGCAAGGCTACTTTACGGCTGTACAAGTCCCTCCGACCAACTAAAGAGGCTGCCACATTCTATTCATTTTAAGGCTAATCGAAAACACCATGTCCTACCAGTTACCCGTCGCATACATATTAAATCACATAAAGAATCAACAGTTAGTCATATAAAAAAAAAGGGTTAAGTAGATAACAAATCTTATAGTACCATTTGAGGATGTCAGACGCCTCAGTATGCCCTCAACAAACTGTACCCGTTTCGGTCGAATTCGTATTGACACTCAATGCCGGTCAAGGTTACCGAGGGTGCACGAGCGAATATATGCTTTAGCATGTCAGTAAACAATACACTGTGCCGTTACTTTAGAGGCATCCGTTTATGTCTGAGGGCGGCAAATGAACGTAGAACAATCATAGCGCACCTAAGGTTTGTGGTAATAGCGATAGCTAATCACGTGGATGGATTAGCCACATGAGTGAACCAGTCGAACAGAAGAATCGCTTCCCGTCGCTCGGGAACAGAACGTAACAATTACTACCGTCAAGTGTGTCTGTATATTCCATGAACAGTTCTGATGGCAGCACAAAATCTCTGCTCGTTGGTTCCACTCAGTGTCTTCTATTCGTTGCAAAACGAAACTAATCCGGATGACATTTACGTTCTGCTCACCCTCGGCTCGCTACGTCTTTTTGGCCTTGGCCCTGTTTGTTGACAAACAGTTGGAAAATTTTAAATGGCCATCGTCTACGCCTGACGAACGTTATGTACTCCAATGGTACTTTACACGCTGTCGCTCACGCACATACAAAATCAGTTTATATATTTCTCTACTCGTATATAAATAGTACTAATGGAAACTTATCGTTTACTTTGGCAACGGTCGTTATCGATTCTTTTTATAGCTTCTATAATCAAAGAATGCCCATTAAAGGATCATTGAACTTAAATCAATAAGCTAGTATCATGATAAAAGAAACCAATAGTCCATTTTATTAACGTAGCATGAACTTCCCATCATCATCATACACAGAAACTCCTCGGCTACTAATTTTGCCCTATTATACGTTCTCTGAAGCTTAAACAACGATCTGTTTATCACCGAGTAAGAAAAAACCCTTTAGTTGATGCCTGTATAGATGTAAATCGATTAATTTAACCAAAACGTCTATAAGCGAATGATGTAATTACTTTCTATTATTTCTTTATCTATTATAGCTGGGTGGTCACCTTTATGTTTTTTGGGTGATGTTTTTTCATTAAGATTGACCATTTTAATGAAAAAAACATCGGATGACAATGAAACCTGCCTGCTTTACTGATTTGATCGCTCTTACGAGTTGGAATATGAGGTTTATTTGCATATCTTCTTTGATCTATTTCTTGACAGAGGTTTTATGCGAAACATTTTCTATTATTACGTATCGCTATTTGATTCAGCATTTTGATTTCGTTATGCGTAGCGGAGGTATGAACCCCTCGCAAGAACCTGGTGCCGCTACCTAAGGTGCCGCTTCACTTGTCTACATCCTAAGCGTCTTCGGCGATAACGCTAATAGCAGTTCTCACATGTTTTTCTGCCTCTCGTCCACTTGTCTCTATTGTACAACCCACGAGAGCAGTTAACCCGGCAAAACTATCTTGTTTGTTGATATGTTCCTCTGATCAATCATAGCAGCTCGTTTCGCTTTGGAAACTCAATCGAACAAATTTTGGCAATCCGCGTTGCGTTGGCGAAATTTTGGTTGTCGTCGAAATTCGAAACAGAATTGCAGCCGTTAGATTTTTTGCCGAAATGGACATTCCGAAGCA